GAATGGTGTCTTTAGCCACATTAACCTGATGAAAATCATTTTTGAGATCCAGCACGGTAAAATACTTCTTCCCCTCAACACGCTCTAGACAGTCATCTATCAAAGGCATTGGGTAGCTGTCGCGTACAGTCAACTTGTTCAACGCACGGTTGTCCACACACATCCGCTTTTCGCCAGACTTCTTCGTTCTTAAAACAATCGGAAACGCGTAGGGCGAGTCACTAGGCCATATAATGTTTTCACTCAATAACTCCTCGACTATACGATCCACTGCAAGTTTGTCGGAATATGAAAGTCTCCGTGGAGCAAAATTAATTGGGATGTTCCTATGTTCCTAAATTGGGATATTCTGAAGGTCAAGATAGTCTTCCTGGATGATTTTCAAAATCTTACTCCGATTATCAACACTCAATTCTGGATTTATCGCATAATCACAATCACTATCATTCAGGTCAATACAAAATACATCAGGTACGGGATAACAATGGGACATTGGAACAGGTATTCTTCCTTCGAGCGGAACAGGATTTGACAGAACGGAATTATTTAGCACATTAACATTGGAAATATCGGAATGAACGGAACTGAACTGAACGGAATCAATCGAAGCCAGCTGCTTTGACATTGTCGGAACAAGCGGAACAACAACCTGAGGTACCAAATTAGGCATATTAGAGATCACTGAAGCCGGTGAATGGTCACACTGATTACATGTTATAATAGGTTCTGAATGCGCATCATTTGAATAATCAAACACACAATGTAGCACTTTTCCAGAAATTTTTATTCGATTTGGGTCGGATCCAATTTCAAGTTCAATGTTAGATTTCATGTCAATTAAATCAATAAATCTTGTGTCGTACAGGGTGATGCCGACTTCTTTCAAAAAATTCCGACCCAGAAGTAAAGGAACACAAAGGTAGTTATCTGGTACTACATGTACCTTTAAGCAAATTTTACGATCATGGAAGGAGATATATGCTCTGATTATTCCGTAGGTGCATAGTGGGTAGTTACCTATGCTTTTGTATCCAGACTCCACCTTTTCTCTCGGACCCATCGATTGTGGGACCACTGATCTCCGCACGAAACTAATTGGACTACCCGTGTCGAACATAGAAAGTACAGTACTACATAAGCATAGAGGTAACTCTAAGACCACTGGGTCCCGAAGAAAATCATTATTATTTTTGGCTCACTCAGTACCAGAACAACGGTCCCAAGCAGTCCCAAGCTATTTCACTCACCCCTGTATGTTCTGCATGAATTCACACACCCCTGATGTTATCTGTCAAACTTTCATAGCGAATCAAAACAAACATAGTGTAGTAATAGAATTTCAACTAGAATAGGGTACGTTAATCGTTTGCTTGGGACGAAAAGGCTACTAAAGTGGTGAGCCAATTTAAAATCGTTAGTTTCGTATTGATTGTTGACATAAGTGTGTGTTACTGTCAATTGAGAAAGCAATACTTACAATATTCAGCTCCGAAAGAGCAGCTCCCAGCTCGCCAGCGCCAGCAGATGAACGATCACCATTGGCATTCTGACGAAATTCATCCGCCAAGGCCACCTGGCTGTTGTTACGTGGGGACGGCTTAGGGCACTCCTTAAGCTGGTGTTGAGTCGAGCCGCAACGGAAGCAGGAGCCCTCTGCTCGACGTGGCTCCTTACAGGCCGCAGACAAATGACCGATGCCTGAACAATTGTAACAACGCAGCAAATCCGGTTTGGATGCAGCAGGCTTCATCTTCTGCCTCGCTGGCAGGGACAGGGTCGTTGTTGGGTACATTTTTCGCAGCTGAACGTACCGGCGTGAAAGCTGCTTCAGATGGGCCAGATCCTTGGCCGGATAAAGCACTGCGATACTAGCTGAACGGTCCTGGAAACCATCGATGATAAACTGCACGGTTTGATTCTCATCGATGTTCGCTCTGGAGGCAATTTCTTGCATCCTAAGTATGTAAGCAGCAACTGACATCTGGAGAGCGTCGTAGGTCGTCTTTCGCAGCTTATCCACAATCTCAGCCACTGTGTAGGTATGGCCAAAGTTGTCCAGGAAGCTAGTACGAAACTCGGTGTAGTTCTTTGATTTGTCAACCCGAAGAAACCATTCCGCCTCGGTTCCTGGTTCCATCAGACGCCGAATACATTTGAATTTGAAGCCATCATTACCACCCAGAGATCCGCACGCAGACTCAAAATCACTAAGCCATCTATTTGCGTCACATGTATCACCTCCAGAAAACCGCGCAACGGAATTCATGACGTCCTGAATCGTAGGTGGTTTTCCTTGAGTTTGTTCGATGTCCTCCAGCTCACGACGCAAATTGGCGATCATTTTACGTTTCTGCAACATTCTCAACTCCAAATCCAGCGGATCCTCGTGTCCTGAAGATGAACCATCGCCATCGCCGTCGCCGTCGTCTTCATCGTCGTTCGGCGCTCCGCCCTGGGCTCCAATATGGCTTTTGTACAACGATAGCAGAAGCCGCACAGTTGCTGAAGGAGGGAAATCAATTTGGTTTTCCCGCAGCCACTCCATCAAATCTGCCTTATTCATACGGTTCATAATTGCAAACTTTCAGCTGCTTCCTGGATGAACTATCCCACTTCTGATTTACTGTAAGGATTTCCGAATGAAAAAACCACGACGCGTACTCAACGGTGTTACTGTTGAGATTATTTAACCTAGATTTTGTAACATATTAATTAAATGTTTGTTTGTTAGTAGGTTAGTAAAGTAAATAATTATAAATGTTAGTAAATGTTAATGCTAAAAATTGATAAATACTCCGGAGTAGCTAATAATAAGGACATAATTTGTTAACACACTTCACACCACAACACACACTACACAACAGTATGAAGTGAGCCAAAAAGGGAAAACAAGAGTTGCCACAGATACCGGGACTGGACACGTCAAAAAGGGAACATGAACAAAGGGTATGGAAAAAGGAGGGTCAAGCTACCGGGTAATAACTTGATAAGCGTCTTTCTTATCCAGAGCTTCGAAGCGTTAAGTTTGCTATCCTCCATAAAAATAAATCAGAGATAAAGAAGTTTATTTGAAATCACCGTTACCAAACTTGATTTGGAAGTGAAATAAGAATCAGGTATGGAGTAAAAGGACATAGCACAAAACAGAATAAAGTTAAAAAAATACCCGGTAGCCCTCCTAATACCCACCCTGGGACGTTCTTTCCTTAGGACCCATTATTAATCGCCTGAATTGTCCAGCAAGTTATCCGCCATTCCGGCGTGCGATTGGACTCTAGCGCCGACGTCTGAAGGAGTGTGATCCGCCAATCCGGCGTACGATCCGTCCCTCTGGGATTCGGCGTAGGCATTACCCCGATCGTCAAGGTAAAGGCGACCTTCCCGCATTTCGTGCTTGCATCCGGCCGCATCGTGAGACACTACCCACATACACACACACACAGTAAGTCGAAATAAAAAGCTAATTAACAAGAGAGAAAGTGCTTTCAATTCCTTGATCGAACACCTACAGCCGACCCTGAAGGTTCCTCTTTCATGCTCGAGCTAAAGCCAGTGAAAAAGAGGTTGTTGTAGAACCCACCCTCAGTGATCCCCGTTGGCTAGACCAGGGATCGAGGGCTTAGCGAAGTGGTCCGTCTGACCGCTTTTAACAACGGTTAAAAATTTTATTCCGCACGCTTTACTTGCTTTTACACGAATGAAATCAAAACGGATCTAGATGAACCCATAAATGTGGTTTCAATTTTTAGAACGAAAATACACTGTCATAGAACATAGAACACAATCTGAACAGAAAATACACACTCAAACATAAAACACAATATCTGGATTAAAACTTGAAAATGGATTACACACTAATCATAATAGGCACATAATTATACTACAATTACATTATTTGTTTGCGTCTACAAATATCTTTTAATCAATTTTCTTCCACACTTACACCATAGAGGTAACTCTAAGACTAGAAGGTCCCGAAGAATCGTGCTCAACATTTTGGCTCAGCTCTGGTACTATCTTCAGTCCCAAGCTAATCGATGCACCCCTCGAAACATATGAAAATCCACGAACTCCCAATTTTATCTGTCAAACTTTCACAGCAAATCAAAACAAACATAGTGTAGAATTAGAATGTCGACTAGAATGGGGTACGTTACTCGATTTGCTTGGGACCAACAGGCTAGTCAAGTTGTGAGCCAATCGTTAGTTTCCACTGGATGCTAACACTATCTACCACAGAGGTATCATACTTATGTTTCGGCTACTTAAAGACAATCCATATCCGTCCAAATATAATCAGTTATTGAGCAATTAGTGTGCAAAGCTGTGCATGCCATGCAAGCAGCTGTCATTCCATAAAATTTCTTAAGGGAGCACAGTTTTTTTTCTTGTTTGGAAAAATCTTCAAACCCTGGTAAGGCTAGTTTAAGTTTATTAAACTCCATATGGTGAATGAGAACGACCCAAATTTGAGTTTAGTTTACTCATAATCGCCAAAAGTGCAGGAACTCAGCGGTGAGTAAATTTGCTTCATGTTTTTCTGTGGAAAACCTCAAAAATCTGCCGGAAAATGAGAAAAATTGACGAAAATTTTACACAGTCTCGGAGTAGTACCAACAGACTCTGAGTGAATCCAATCTATACTTTTCTCATATTCGGGAATTTGTGCCTGGAAAAACCTGGAAAAACATTAGGCAAATTTACTCATCACTGAGTTCCTTCCCCTAATGTGATTTATGAGTAGGCTAAACTCAAATTTGGGTCGGTTCTCATTCGCCGTGCATGTTAAGTTTTCCGAATGAAAGTCAATCTTCGATCGTACCGAGCGGATCTTATACTGATAAGCCGAAATGCAGATGAAATTGAAAAATGCCTTTTCTCAACTTCTCTGCCTCATTGCAGCTACTAAATTGTATCCCTTTTTCCTTTGCCAATGCCAGATAAAATCACTAGAATAACGATCCCTTTCTCAATTCTCTCCATTTCCGTCTTCTTCACAGGCGATTACACCATCTCCAGAATACTGGGAATTTATTGTATTCTGAAAGCCGTGGCCCTGGTACACTGCACCCTCTACATCCACTACAAAGCGTAAGTATGGATCGCTTCGTCCTCGTCCTCCTCCTGCAAACTTATCAATTCTTTCGATCTTTTCTCGTCAATTCCTCGCAAACCGAAACGAAGACTGGAGAGAGAAAGAGAGACAGAGCAAACATCCATCTCGCTTCGGTTTGGTCCATTTCCGGGTGGCAAAAAAAATAATGAAAGAAGCCAAATTTCCACAGCGTTTAACAGCTGTAACTTTTCATCCCCGCCCACCCGTCCGTCCGTCCCAGTCTTGAACGACTTGACTCATTAAACCGTTTCATTCCATTTTCAGAGTCGTCAGCATGGGAGGCTGCTCGCTGGCCATCACGATGGTACTCTACATGACCGAGGCCTTGTACTTCCGCTCGACGACGCTCAACTTTTACGTCATCTTTCCGTGCATCCTCAACTGTGAGTATTTATCTAATTGCAAGCAGACTTTGGTTGGGATTTTGGAAACCATGCGTCTCCATCAGAAGCACAAGTACCTTGCTTCAATTTGCCTATCCAAAAAATGCTCGGGAATGCGGAGCTGTGGAAGGAAGCAAGTGGCACAAATTGAAATAACTGCAATAATAATGGCATAGTTTTGTGTGCCAAAGTTGTAGGTACCCTGCTCGGTGCAGCCTGCAGTGAACGCAAAGTTTAATAATCCAAGTTGATACCGGGCGAACACAGAGAGAGAGAGAGAAAGCACTAAGACTAAGACTGGCCGGGTAAAGGGGAAGCATCAGCAAGCGAAGGGATTATTAATTTCCACAGTTGGATGGCCTTTAGGAAATGTTCTTCCTTGTTTTTCCTGTTCCTGAATGCAATGTCTATCTACCTGACGACGACGACGACGATAAAAGAGTTTGATTGTGCTTCTGTCGTCGTTTGTTCTGCAAAACATAGGTTGGCCCATCTGTTGGCGCAATTCTTGATTACAGTTAAATTTTTTGTTTGCTTCCGATCACAGAATCACTCATTAATGAATGCACAGTTTTTTGACTGAGCCCAGAAAAAAATACCGGAAGAAGAGTAAAACAAAACATTCCCTGGGGGGAAAAAAAAAACACATTCCCAGAAAAATTTATTGCTTTTGAGAATGGTCCAATGAATGAACGAGTAACGAACCTCGAACAACGGCGACACAGCAGATAGCGGGATGGCACCGAAAAAGAGCGGGCGAATCCTGGATTGGTTCCAACTGGTGATATGGTGCAGCAGCAGATTCCGGTTGACCTACCTTCCTCTAGCCAATCCAGCCACCCACCGCACTCGTGTTATGTGGATTATAAATTTTAAATGTCCCTTGCTATCCCTGGTGTCGTCGGTCGTGACGCTTGGCACTGCCCACTCACATTCCGTGTCCTGCAGACTGCCCGACTGCCTGCCAGCCTATCTGACCAGAGCGGCCCAGCCTTATGGGAAGTCGAAGGTTTTTTTTTTGTGTGTAAATTAAGAAGTGTAATTAAACAACTGAAGTTTTTCAGAATGAACTATGTTTTATCGAGAGGAAAATCACAAATTTAATTGCACCTAAAAAAATTACTAGAGCGACTGTTTATGGTCATAGCACTGATTCCAATGGGGCTCGCAAATAGCCACATGCGTAAATCACCCGGCATAAAACACATGATGCTGGGGATGCGCTGGTTCTGATCAATTTCGGTATATTTGAGGGTGGAATAGCTCTAAATAAATAGCTTTAGAATATTATTTAGAATATAATTTATAATAAATTATAATTTAGAATTAGCGACCACATAACTGTTAAGGTACACAGGGGTAAGTTGAAACGGAACCCGTAACTATATGCGGAAGTGATTTATCACTGCGATTATTTTTAACAGTATAATATAAACTTAAACGCCAGCTATGGTAGTTACAAACAGCTTAGCGTGCTCCTCAGCTTTGTTTATTTAAATTTTATATTAAATCTACAAGACACATTTTTTTTTAATACTCCAAAAACTATACCGAGGCAAAACTGACCGATCCATTATAAAAATAGATTGCCTCGTAAGTAACGCTACTTGACCTTGTGCAATTTCTCCCAAGGCCGAGTCCGGTGAAATCTCCGGGAAAGATGGGGAGAGAAAGTTGTGGCTTCACCCGACTTTGAACGAAGGGCCAGCATCAGAATAATCTCTCGCATTGCCGATCTAGTTCGAAGAAGTTCGCGGGAAAATCGAACTTTCATTGAGTTCGGCCGAGGTGTGGCGTCCGGTGGAGGCGCCACGGAGGATCTTTTTTGCCGAGACCAGATGCAGGTTACGAAGCGGAAGCACGTCGTTTGGAGTAAAGAGGCTGAATTTATAACGAGACGACATATCAAAATTGGTTATTCCAATCGAGCAGAAGACCTGTCAAATGGAAAAGATGTCGCCTCTTTACCCAATTCAGTCTCTTTAGTTCGGAGAAATAAAACACCAACAAAACAAGGAACAATCGGAGACTCTTAAAAAGCACGCGCAATCGTTGTGAATCGTTTATTGGCATTAATAAAGTTCAAAGAGTATCAAACACAAGGTAACATTTTGTAGTGCGCGATCGCGTGCAAGAAACGGTGAATAATAGAGGGCTGCTCCATTGTATCGCCTAACACTGCTCCTCAACGTAATGCCCTCGGCTGGATTTATAAAGACACGACATGTCAAAATTGGAACAATCGATTTTCAGTCAAAGTCATAGGAAAAGTTATTCCAATCGAGTAGAAGACCTGTCAAATGGATAAGATGTCGCCTCTTTATCCAAGTCTCTTTACCTTCGGTCAGTCACCAGTCCAATCTTCTCAGCAAAGTGGTTGTGCTTCGCTGCCCCAAGCGGCTTCTTAAGGATATCTGCCTTCATTACTTCAGTGGGGGCAGTACTTCAGGTTTACCACACCAAGTCACGAATGAAGCAATGTTTAGTCTCTATGTGTTTAGACCACGGGGGCACCAATCACGAATTTCGGCGGAGCTCACATCAATGCGATGAATATAGTGGGTGAGGATGACTGCAACAGAATGCTCTTTCTAGCATTCAGCACTGTGATGCAAGTTTGAAAAAGTAAGCTGTTTTGTTCTGTCGTACCTCCGTCAGTTTTACCAACCTCTATGGTTTTACCTTTTTACCGCTGTCAGTATGCCCAAAAGTGTCAGATTGTTCAAAAATGTCAAAATTATGTGAGCTATGGTGCATCTATATGTGGTTGACAGGGATAGGGTCCCCCTGGTTTAGACCTCTTACTAATTCTCTCAGGCTGCACAAAGCTCAAACACCCTTGATTGTCTTCGTGCACCAAGGTAGGGTCCGTTTGCTTTTCACCGAGGAGCTTCGATTTGACAATTTCAGTCGTCAAATCTTCATCAGAGTGGCTCTCTAACGCTGTAACGAGCTCAACGTAGGAATCTGACAAACTGCGAAGTATCATCGCAATGTTCGTCGGTTGCTCCAGCTTCAAATCTGCGTTATCCACCTCGAACAAGTTAGCTTCCATGTCTCCTCCTTCCAAAAGGTTCAAATTACACAACTTCCGGAGAAGACTCACTCGAGAGGTGACTGTCACCTTCTCATGATAATTACAAAGCGCTTTCCAAAAATCTTTCGCGATAAACGCACCCTTCACGAGGCTATATTTACTGACTGTCCTCCGGCTTTGGCTTATCGACGACATACCAAGCTCTTCCCGGATCAGGAGCATCTATATTCTGAACTTCCATGGCTGCCAGTTTTCGTTGTTCAGTTTGGAGAATTGGCTCTCACACGAGACACACTTTTCCCGTCAGCACGAAAGCACCGGCCGAAGACGAGTCGAATCACGCACAAATTTTGCACGGGAACTTCCACCTGAGCCCTAATGTGATCTATGACGGCAAAGAGTCCAATAGTGAAGAAGAAGCATGCTATTTCTTCGCGATGCATTTCGAATCCATCTTCGAACCAGTGTCATCGTCCGACGTCGAGGCTCGTTACCTTCTACCACCCGAGGCCGAGAAAGCTGTGTCACACGGGCTGCTAGTCATGAAAAAAAGAGGGAGCCTCAAATCAATTGGTGTCGTGGTTGTCATTGTACTTGACTGACAGAACGCTGTACGTTAAACAAGGATCTTATGTTTCATCGTCATTTGCTAGCACGTCCGGTGTCCCGCAAGGAAGTTAGTTAATAAATAAATAAATAAATAAATAAATAAATCAATATTTATTAATAAATAAATAAATAAATAAATAAATAAATAAATAAATAAATAAATAAATAAATAAATAAATAAATAAATAAATAAATAAATAAATAAATAAATAAATAAATAAATAAATAAATGACTGACTGACTGACTGACTGACTGACTGACTGACTGACTGACTGACTGACTGACTGACTGACTGACTGACTGACTGACTGACTGACTGACTGACTGACTGACTGACTGACTGACTGACTGACTGACTGACTGACTGACTGACTGACTGACTGACTGACTGACTGACTGACTGACTGACTGACTGACTGACTGACTGACTGACTGACTGACTGACTGACTGACTGACTGACTGACTGACTGACTGACTGACTGACTGACTGACTGACTGACTGACTGACTGACTGACTGACTGACTGACTGACTGACTGACTGACTGACTGACTGACTGACTGACTGACTGACTGACTGACTGACTGACTGACTGACTGACTGACTAACTTACTTACTTACTTACTTACTTACTTACTTACTTACTTACTTACTTACTTACTTACTTACTTACTTACTTACTTACATACTTACTTACTTACTTACTTTCTTACTAACTAACTAACTAACTAACTAACTAAATAAATAAATAAATATCATTAAATTTTCTCATTTCTTGACTAGCCTATTGGTCCCAAGCAAATCGATAAACGTACCCCAATCTAGTATAAATTCCAGAATGCTTGTTTTGATTCGCTATGAAATTTTGACAGATAAAATGAGGGGTTGAAGGATTTTCCTATGTTTCGAGGGGTGTATCGATTAGCTTAGGACCGAAGATAGTACCAGAGCTGAGCCAAAAAGGGGAACTTCTGGTCTTAGAGTTACCTCTATAGTAAAACCGATTAGACGATGACACAAACACGATTGGGGAAGAATATCCACCTGGTGATTATCAGCCGAACGCGCTTGAGAGATTGGACAACTTTGGCAATAGATCGGGAAACCGATAAGGCGATGGCAGAAACAGGAACCGAGAGAGTACCCACAGCCAGGCCATCGGCTTGATCCAATCGATGGGTTAGACCTGGGACGGGACTTGACAATCGGGTAGCGATTTCGAGCCAATTTTCTGTCAAATCCGAGCCAGTTTCTGATTGGTCGATTTGACAGTAGCAATCGTGGAATAAAAAGGATAGAGGGATCGCATCAATCTGGCTGGCAGTGATGCCGGAATCAATGTTGACGTCAATGGCGTTGTTATTTGTTTATATTTGCAAAAGGAGAGTTGAAAAATTGAGTGCACTGCGTGTTTTAAGCGATGGATATTGTTATTTGTATATGGTTATTTTTATTGTGTTGAGCAAAAATGATGTTCAAGCTGCTAGACTGCGGTAGAAACTCCGGATAAAATCCAAATTTAAAATAGAAAAATATTTTACATTCCTGGCATCATTGGTCTACTCCTTCAAACACCACGCGCAACTTTCCGAAGGGCATTCTTCAAAAACATTAAGAAGAGTGAGAAGCTCGATTGTCACGTCCCGTCCCGGGGTTAGACGACTACGGAGCCAGAAACAGGCGAGGTTATCAGCCAGGTCGACCTCAACATCGGATAGCCGAATGCAGATAGACGAATGGAAAAATGACCCTCGCTATGGCTAGTTTTTGCACCTTGACGTTGGTGGGAGGGCTTAATCTCATGTCATAATGGAGCGTTGGAGACGGTAGGTTTATGGCTGGCATCTCTAGCTCATGGCTGCATTCGACCGGGTTGACCACTCCATACTGCTAGCTAAACTTGAAAAACTCGGTGTATCCTCGGGTTTAACTCGTTGGTTCAAGTCCTATCTGACCAATCGGGAACTTTGTGTTAGAATCGGATCAGAGCAATCGGACTATTTTACAAACAGCTCCGGTGTTCCTCAAGGTAGCAACTTGGGACCATTGCTATTCTCGATTTTTGTGAATGAGACCGAACTGATCCTCCCAACTGGTTGCCGATCGTTCTACGCGGATGATGTGAAGATCTATGTGATTGTTCGTAGCTTCGCCGATTGCTTGCGGCTTCAGCACCTAATCGATACTTTCGAAGAGTGGTGCTCAAAAAACTATCTCACGTTGAATGTACAAAAATGTAATATTATCTCATTTCATCGCAAGCTGAAACCAGTGGCATTCAACTATACGATAAATCACCAACTTCTGCAACGTGTGGACAATGTTCGTGACCTAGGAATCACGCTGGACTGCGCCTTAAAATTCAAGCTTCATTACTCGGGCATCGTTGCGAAAGCTAACAGGCAACTCGGGTTCATTTTCAAGATCGCTGACGAGTTTCGCGATCCTGCCTGTCTAAAAGCTCTATACTGCTCTCTAGTGCGATCGATCTTGGATTTCAGCTCGGTAGTATCAACAATCAATACGAAACTAACGATTTTAAATTGGCTCACCACTTTAGTAGCCTATTGGTCCCAAGCAAACGATTAACGTACCCTATTCTAGTTGAAATTCTATTACTACACTATGTTTGTTTTGATTCGCTATGAAAGTTTGACAGATAACATCAGGGGTGTGTGTATTCATGCAGAACATGCAGGGGTGAGTGAAATAGCTTGGGACTGCTTGGGACCGTTGTTCTGGTACTGAGTGAGTCAAAAATAATATTGATTTTCTTCGGGACCCAGTGGTCTTAGAGTTACCTCTATGGTAGTATGGTGCCCGTATCCAGCAGTTTGGATAGCGAGGATTGAATCTATTCAAAGGAAATTTGTTCGGTATGCCTTTTGTCACCTTCCTTGGAATGACCCTGTGAACCTTCCGCCGTACGAAGATCGTTGTCAACTCCTGGGTCTTGAAACACTAGAACATAGGCGGACGATTAGTCAGGCCGTGTTCGCAGCGAAAGTACTTATTGGTGATATCGACTCTCCAGGAATCTTGGCTGAATTCGAAACCTACGCACCCGAACGAGTTCTTCGGTCGAGGAGTTTCCTTCATCTTGGACCTCGTGCTGCGAACTACAGTTTGCATGACCCAATACGGTTCATGTCTGGGCGTTTCAACGAGTTTTACGAGTTTTTCGACTTCAACTGTGCAGCGGAAACCTTTCGTCACCGTATTCAACGCAGACTTCTGAGAAGGTGAGTAGCTGTCCATTTAATGAACACGTGAAGGATTGCGCTACCTGTTTATTTTTTGTTTCCGGTTCAACTGCATGACGAGGACTTCTACCTGATTCACGGACAACTCTATGCCATAGGAGGATAACTTTTTTTATGCTAGACTTGATTAATGTTCGTTGTAATTGTATTGTATTGTATTATTGTGATTCATGTATGTATTTCGAAAAGATATGGGGTTTTTACGCCTTTTTTAGACTTTTCCCCATCAGGCTTGATTTAGACACGTTAAGTCCGATGAAGAAAAACAAAATAAATAAAAATAAATAAATAAATAAATGTCATGTCATGGCAGTGTGCCGTCATGGGCGGGCGTTGTGGATTAGTGAGTCTTTCTACCAAAGTTCTAGCCGCTAGTGACAATACCACACCTGTAGCAACCGGTGAACACTAGTGTTTATTTCAGTTACCGTGGGGACGTAATTTGTGATTAGTCCCGGTCCCCTTTCAAATTGTATCATTATTTATGTACCGTCCTTATATTTGAAATGACGTTTCACATTCATCTAGTGATGGCCGATTTTCATTTGAATAATCGATTAATCGATTAACGAACCGAAAAGTAAAATATTTGTAATCGGTTATTGTCGTTCAAGTTGGACACCGGAAAACCCACACGCGACATTCGATTTTACCCTCGTTCTGTACGTAAAACATAACGTCGGACATAGTGCGCTGAATAGCGCATCATTGTGCGAATACAGCGCACTATGTCCGACGTTATGTTAAACGTACAGAACGAGTGTAAATTCAATTGGCGCGTGTGGGATTTTCCGGTTTTCAACTGAAACGATAATATATCATGCCGATATAAGCATTAACATCTCCAGATGATCATCACCGATCGTTTCAAACATGTGCTGCACTTTCATTGGTGGAAAAATGGCAGCACAGCGAACAAAAAAATAATAATCGATTAGTTGTTAATCGAGTAATTAAAAAATGGGACATCTCTGATTTTGGTGTGATTGTTTTGATAAAAATGAGCGCAAAATTTCATCTCTACAGAGGGGGCAACAAAACCACAAAATTACCTTGAATAAGGGGGGTGTTCATTGGATGAAAGGGACCGTGAAAGAGGACACTAAAATAGAAAGTTTTTCTTCCGACAGTTTCATCTTAGTATTCATCTTTGCCTGTAGCGATCTTGTGAACGTCTCATGACGATCCTGTACTTGGTCTCAACATGGCCGTGGGAATGCAAAGAGAAAGTCGACGAAGATAATCTATCAGCTTGATTTGTTCTTCGTTGTCCTGACCGGTTTTCACTTCGATTTCGTCCGGTTGATCGTTGATGGGTTTGAAGTCCGGACAAGGATCGCTCTTACCGGAAACATTGGCAGCGGTTACTTCAACATCATCCTCCTCTTCGGCTTCGGAAATGGCGGCGGCTGCTCTGGCTGAACATTCCGCGGGGGTAATGGTTGATAGCGTTGCCGTCTGAGCTGCAATTGGGTGTTAATCGGTTGTTGCCCCACCAGGGAGATGTTTGCTAAATCGGAAACTGTAGTGGCGGATTTTATTCGAGGGGCCACGGTTGGAATATTGCTCACCACGCTATGTTTGATGTGCTGTGATGGAATCTTCACGCTGTAGCTAACTTGCATGGTGCTAACGAGAAGGGGATCGGAGTTAGTTATTACCATTTTCAATGAGACTACTGTTACGACTACTGGATCAATCGATGCTGCTGGGATCGTTGCATTTCAGGTGAAATTCCAGATGTTTAGAAGACTAGCTTAGAGAACTTGTTTGATCAGCGATGATCCCTTTGAAGTGACTGGCTGCTGAGGAGGAAGAACAACTGCTAAAAGCTGGCTGGAGCTGCAAGTTCTTGCTGGTTGTAAGCAGGCACCGGCACAGGTTCTTCCATAATATTCAAGCTATTCGAAAGCCTCAGGATACACTTGGGCTTACTTTGTATACAAACAAAACTGACGTCTAATATGAGAAGCATATTCTTAAAGGAAGTAAACGGAGTAAGCAGAGAAAAAAAAAATCGATGAACGTCGATTAAATATTGAGGTACATTGAGTTACTCGTTGCCTGGGACGGGACTTGACAATCGAGCTTCTCCCTATTCTTAGTGTTTTTGAAGAATGCCCTTCGGATAGTTGCGCGTGGTGTTTGACGGAGTTGACCAATGATGCCAGGAATGTAATTTTTTTTTTCTATTTTGATTTGGATTTTATTTAGAGTTACTACCGCAGTTTAACAGCTTGTACATAATGTTTGCTCAACACAATAAAAACAACGATAAACAAACAACAATATCCATCGCTTAAAACACGCAGTGCACTCAACTTTACAACTTTCCTTTCGCAAATATAAACAATTAACAACGCCATTGACGTCATCATTGATTCCGGCATCACTGCCAGTCAAATTGATGCGATCCCTCTGTTATTTTTATTCCACGATTGCTACTGTCAAATCGACCAATCAGAAACTGGCTCGGATTTGACAGTAAATTGGCTCGAAATCGCTACCCGATTGTCAAGTCCCGTCCCAGCTCGTTGCAAAAAAGCAACTCAGAGTAAACCTGTCACCTGTCTCACCCCTTGACCAATAGTTAACTTTTGAATTCAGCTCAGGAAAATTCAAAAGATGTTATCATTTCAAACAAAAACCACAAATGACCAAACAAAGTAACCACCTTTTTTTCCTTCTCCCCCACACAGCGATGACCCTAGTTGGGCTGCTTTACATCCCCCGACGGCTGCGGCTGTGGGACCAACGTGGCGACAACGACGATGAAAACTCCCAGCTCCTGAAGCAGATGGGCGGCTACAAGAAGCGTTCGCGGGCGCACAAAAACAAAACACCCTGAATTTTCTTCGGGATGGTTTAGCAATAACCTCCCTCACTACTCGCATTTCCGGCCATTTGGCCAGCCGTCACCTTCTTGTTCTTTCGTTTTCTTCGTTTCCAGTAGCAAGCATGATGACATTTTTTCGAGAGGATCAACAACAACAACTACGTAAGGTACGTTCGATACTAGTCAACTATTTTTACTCTTGGGAAATGTAGAAAATGTCGAAATCCTAACTACAAAAGACACACACACACATTTAAGCGAAAAGCGAAATGATTAAAATGTAAACAACAACAACAACAACAACAACAACAACAAACACAATGTGAACATGAAAAGCTTTAATACATTTATAGAGGAAAACAACAACCAATTAACCAATTGAAACCAATTAAGAGTAATCACTTAAATCAATTTGTAGGGTAATTCAATAGCTATGTAATGAAATCAATTGAAAACGAAAATCGAACAGAATAAAAAAAACCTATAAAAAAAATAATGGGAGAGGCACTCATTTGCACTCGAACCAAAAAAAAACAAACCAAACGAGGAGACAGATGTATAAATCACCATCCCGCGTTGAGGTAAATGAAATTGAAGAGCGCTTTTTACACTGTTTAATAAACACAAATTAAATCGAAATCAGAAACCCCAAATCGATAACGCAGTTGAGATATAAATTTTTCGAAATCAAAAACACACCCACTTATGTCGGTATAGGAAAAAAGAAAAACAGTAGCCCACCCCTCCCGTTCGGATCCCCCATTTTCTCCCTCCGTTGAACACTCTTTTTCTATATATAGGTATATAGATACTAAAAATACGCACGATATCAGAAGTGCAAAACAAAAACTCATAATAATGGAAATCAGGAACTCCTTCACCTGCAGAACAGGCACACAGGCATAAGCCCTGTCAAACACAACAACCACAACGTATAGATTTTTGATAATATTCTGCTTCAGAGGCCTCACACAAATTAAAACGATATGAATGAATAACGGAAAACAATATAAAAGTAGACTAAAGCACCTAAGAAACTTTTTTTAATACAACTCCGCTCACTGCAAGACACAGCCGCGTAGAATAGATTTAGGAATTACTGAAGTGCAGAATGTGAGAGAAAAAATTTAAAACAAAACAGACAAGTATTTCCCGTTATGTAGGAATTAGCAGTTACTGTATCCCATCCCGATTGTTGTTGGCATTTTTTTCCCGTTGGAAGATCTTCATTTTCTCAAGCACAGGCGCCATCTTTTCACATTTGACAGGTTATCTGTCAAATTTTCAAAGATGGTGGTGATTGTCTTCGGAAAGTTAACATCTTTCAGGGGGGGAAATATGAACGCTTGCGGTTCGATCGGCCGGGACAGGTCTAATTGAATAGTAATACTGACGTATTACTGTAGTAGGACGATTTTGATTGAGGGTGTTTGAAAGTTGTGTTTGTTGTTTGTTTTGTGCTCATCCATATTGAGGGACCTATATTTAAGCAGAAACGTACTTGCCAATCAGTTAGATGGTTTTTGTTTGGTCTTTGGTTGGCGAACCAAAACTATGTTCCTTTTTCATCGAACACTATTGTCGGTCAAGTTGAACAGCGGGAAACCCCACAAGCGACATTCGATTTTACTTCCGTTCTGTTAAACATAACGTCGGATGTTGTGCGCAGTATAGCGCATCATTGTGCAAACACACAGCGCACTTTGTCCGACATTATGTTTAACGTACAGAACAAGAGTAAAATCAATTGTCGCGTGTGAAGTTTTCCGGTTTTCAACTGTACCGATGATACCGTTATGTTTCTACGTAATAATTTCAAAACAATACAAAACAAAACAAAATAGTGTTTTACAGACTGCCAAAGTTTTATACAGAAGTAGGCAATACGAGAACAGTAGCTGCAGTTGACTTTGCGATGGATCAGAGTAACAGTTGTTCAAAAACTGATTTTTTTTTAAAGCATTTAATAGGTTACTAGGATTGCCGGTCTAGAAATTTTTCGGGTTGGAACATTTCTCGACTTCCCTGGGCATAACGTATAAGTGCACTTGCCACACAATTCTAGATAGAGCTGGAATTAGGGCGAAACAGCTTTTGTAAACAAGGACTTCTCTCGATGATTTCTAGAAATCCAAGACTCGCTCACTCAAATAAACGTTCCCCTTCCCGTAGGTTATGTTGGTTTGAGTAGGCGTGCCTTGAGTTTCGAGAAATCATCTAGAGAAGTCATTGTTTACGCCCTAATTCCAGCTCTATCAAGAATTATACTAATCACTGGCGTGCACAGGGTGGGGCAAGGTGGGGCAATTGCCCCTCCTTTTATATATAAGATCCATATTTCCAAATTATGATATAAAATAACTTGATTTATTGATAACTTGATTTGACGGTAAAATAACTTCATTTCATAATATAAGGGCACTGAAAACCTTTTATCAACAATCAATACGAAACTAACGATTTTAAATTGGCTCACCACTTGACTAGCCTATTGGTCCCAAGCAAATCGATTAACGTACCCTATTCTAGTCGAAATTCTAGTACAACGCAATGTTTGTTTTGATTCGCTATGAAAGTTTGACAGATAAAATGAGGGGTTATTGGTTTTTCCTATGTTTCGAGGGGTGATTCGACAAGCTTGGGACCGAAGATAGTACCAGAGGTGAGCCAAAAAGTTGAGCACGTTTCTTCGGGACCTACTTGTCTTAGAGTTACCTCTATGCTTTTATTGTGTCAATTCCTTTGAAATGGTGCCTGAAATTGCATTACAAAGGTGCATGAAAGGACAAACTTCAATGAAATTTTTTAGTCAAAAAATTGCACCACAGTGGTGCATACAAAAAAATTCTGGTGTAATTTGTTTTTTCAAAGTGGTTCATGGTGGGTTAAAAGAAGAGGGTAAAGGTTGAAAAAATTCACCTTTGTGGTGGTAAATTGTAGAAAAAACTTATTATTGAATAATTCTGGTGTAAAAATATCATCAATGAATAATTCTGGTGGAAAAATTGAATCACGCAAAAAATTTGGAGGTGCCATTTAACTGAAAAATTCTGGTGGAACGTTAGCAACACTATGGTGACTGTAGAAGCAAGGTTTATTCATGTTTTTGGTGCATAATTTGGATCGTTCTGATGAATGCAAGCTTCATTGAAAATTTATGGTGGAAAATTTGCACCATTCTGGTGCATGAAGAGGCAAAGCCTTAAAATTGCAAACATCACTGACAATTTTTGATGCACCGTTCTGGTTAATGGAGGAACATGTTTTATTGAAAATTTCTGGTGGAAAATTTTTATCGCTCTGATAAATGAAACGAACAGAAAATTTCTGGTAGAAAACTTGCACTGCTCGTAAATGAAGGCACAAGCTTTATTTGCTATATTGAAAACTACTGGAGGAAAATCTGCACCGTTCTGGTGAACGGATAGGCAAGCTTTTCGGAAAATGTTTGGTCTCAAATTTGCATACTTTTGCTCAAAAGAGGAACAAACTTTAATAATAATTTCTGGTGCAAAATTTGCACCATTCTGATGATTCGAGGGAAGCTGCTTTACTGAAAATTTATGCTGAATATTCTGAAAATAGGAGCAAGCTTTATTTGGTCGAAAACCTGCAACATTCTGATGATAGGAGAAGCAAGCTATATTGAAAATGTCTGGTGGAAAATGGAAAAAGGATATCTGCACCAATCAGAAGATTGTAGAATAATTTTTATTGAACATTACCGGTGGAAAATTTGCATCGTTCTGGTCCATTGAAATTTTCTGGTGTAAAATTTTCTGGGGCAAGTTGTATTGAAAATTTCTGGTGCAAGATTTGCAACAATCTGCTGCATGGAAGCGATAGCTGAATTGAAAAGTCCTGATGTAAACATTGCACAGTTCTGGTGAATGGAGAGGCAAGTTTTATTGAACATTTCTGGTAGAAAAAACTGCAACGTTTTGGTGAATGGACGGACAACTTAAACTTGACTTCCGAGAAGAACCTCAAGGGTATTGAATTCTGAAGACCAGTTCCAAAAGAAATGATTTCTGGGGATGATTCCATGAAAATTCTGCGAATAATTTCTATTAAATAATGCAGATAGTTCCAAGATAATTTCAAAAAGAATACCGAGCGAATCAAATTTTGTATGAAATTGCAAAGGGATCCCAACAAACAATTTGTGCTGATTAAAGGCTGAATAAGCAATTTTTTAGCTGAAGAAACATATGTTTGCCTGTATAAGCTCTTATTCTACTACCAATGTTTGTTGGGATGTTGGGGAAAATTTCAAGGAAATTCCGAGGGTAATTTCAAGCTTATTTTGAGAAGAATTTCTGGAGAATACAAAGGAAATTCTTCTGAAAATTTAGGGGAATTTCAGTTCCAGGGTGTTCTGAGAAAAAAAAAATTTTTCAATATTCCGAGAAGAACCTCAATGATATTGAATTCCTAGGACAGCTCCAAAATATTTCTGGAGAGAATTCAAAGAAAATTCTGCGGATAATTTCTAGTGAATACTGTTATAGTTCCAAGATAATTCCGAAAAGAATACCGAGCAAATTATCCGGGAATAATTTCTGGATAATACTGAGAAAATTCTTCTGAAACTCTAAGGGAATTTCAGTTCCAAGGTGTTCTGAGTAAAAGTCAAGGAGAGTTCTAAAAATAATTCCAGAGGACTTCTGAGAAGAATTTCAAAAGAGCTCATAGAGTTCTAAAAAAAAAAGCTTTTGGATTCCCTAATTGAAAAGTGGGTATTAGTTTGCCATTGAACCTTGGTCGATTGTTGTCTTACTAAAAAATGGTCGAAGAATCTTCTCTGAAAATGTCAATGAACAGCTTTGAGTGTGTTGGTTTATTTCCTTTTAATTCCGTAATAATTGCTTATCTTTTGACAGATACGCGTATTTCGTCTACTACTTGCAGACTTCATCAGTGCCAAGCACTCAATATATCTGATCAAGATTGGATTGATCAAGAGCTGTTTGTTCACTGCTATGTGCACTGTTTGAACCTTGTACTTGTCGACGCAGTGTGCATGCGAAACGAGAATGCGATTCTTATTGGTCATTTATCTCGGTTTGTCAATGCTATCACCACCATCTGACGTGACTTCAGCTGAATTCAACCACTAAGGCAACAACATTGCAGCAAATGTATAATTTCGGATAAAGTCCTACTATCGCACCCATTTGACGAACCGATCATCATCGACATCGTCGATGGGATTAAATTGCCAATTTCCATTGGCTGTCTGAAAGCAGTTTGCATTGAAGAAGATGAACCACCACCGGAGCAAAAAATAAGTAAAATTAGCTAAATTGAACAGTAGGGAAAAAGTGGGAGGAGGACAGCACCATCTACGACGCACTTTGGAGTGCTCCCCATCCCCAGATTAAATGCACCTAAGAAAAAAAATTGCCCCTCCTTAACAAGATTCCTGTGCACGCTAGTGATACTAATGCAAAGATGGTACTCAATGTCTCAATTAATAACTGTGGAAGTGCATCTAGAACACTAAGTTGAGTGCACGTAATAAGCTAATATGGGATAAGAAATAAGCATGAAATGCGAGGAAGAAGAAGAAAAATAAGCTCAAGGTTTTTAAGAATCACAGCTTAGGATTATTAAGAATGTGCCTAAGATTCCCCAAATTTAGCCGGGGATTTTCAAAAATACACCTAAGATTCATTAAAACCCAACCTACCAAAATCCCG